CTGTACCATACCATTATCAGCTCCCTTTAAAATTAACTAATTTCATACAGTTAATTAATTAAATATAGTTTTCATTAGCCCAAAGCCATGGATGTTGAAGAGTACAAGGTCCAGGCTGTAAGTTTACTGGGAAAGGACCTCAAATCTAAGCTGTACACTCTGTGCAAAAAAATTAAATGCCTGAAAATTTCCAGGTTCCAAACTGGAAGTGATGTGGTAGCTGGCATCTTAATTCCAGTCATTCATAATCGCCTTGTATTTGCCCATATGCAGTTTTTCTTTTCCTTACATTACTGCAATAAATTATGCCTGATGTTTATTAAGCAAAGACACAAATATATCTGCCTAATTAAAAAAGTGAATTAATGTTTATGACTATTCTGAGCCACATAAATTCTGATGTAAAAATGGAGCTCACGGACGTATTTCACTTAATTAGTTGTGTTCCCTCCTAGGCAATTCACTAGGTTTGGGGACTAGTGTTGAACTGAAGATTATGTTTGTGAGTTTAAATCATAATATCTGCATATTTTCTTCCCTTGTAATTATTATGTTGTATTCACACTTAAAATTGTGCACTTGTATATTATTCAACTGTATGTTTCAGAACTTATGTGTGAAAGAGAAATTGTAAATGGATACTGAAGATAATATTTAATTGTTGCTTGCCTGTAAAGCATACATAGTCCAGTAACTTTTTGTTAATGAGCAATAGGTAATCATCAGTATTACCATTTACATTATCACTGTATTATGTGTGCCACATTGCTGAGGCTAGAAGTGCAAGGGAACCAGATATTTATTTTACTTTCTCATTATTTGTTGTTCATTAGCATTCTAATTTAAAGTTTCCATGTTTGCATCCAAATGTAAACAAACAATTTTATTGGGGGGGGTGGGAACTTTTTTACACACATTTTTATGGCCTGGCATCTTTAATAAGATGCTCAGAATCCCTGAGCCTCATCCATTAATCCCACTCTCTATCTGGCATTTTGTCTCTAGTAATGAACCTGCTGTCTTCAGCTTACTGACCAGGCAATGTATATTTTGTCCCTCCAAAATCCAACCCTTGCTATCCTCAATGAAGAGGGGGCCAACATCTTTGGATAGAGAATGGGGCTCTGGTCCACCAAAGCCAAAGTGTGAGGTACTGGGCCAAGGGCTGCATGGCACTGGGCTGGGTGGTAATAGTAGTCTCATTAACAATCCCTTTGGGGCACTGGGCAGCAACCCATGTCAGTGCCATAAGGGGCTCTGCAGGGGTAACTTTTGTTCCCTCGTTCTTGTTAAGTGTTAATGAAACACAAGAATAAAACAGTCATGACAGAAGCGACAAACAGCAGTTCCCTAATACAGAGTCCCCATCTCTAAGTTGATCCTTCCCAGCAAGGAGCCTGCAGGGGAAATTTTGTGCAACATATTCCTGCAGACTCATATATGAAATAAAATTGCATTAAATTCACATGCTGATCAAAAATATATGTCTCTTACACCATGTTATACAGAGTTCAACAGTTGATTGAGTAATGCATTACACTGTGCAACAAATTTTGGGTAATTTCTTGTTATGGGCATGAAAGTAAGTTTACTTTATAGATTTATGAGGTGTTAAACACAGAAATAGTGCGTAAATTGGCAGATTGGCTCTTGTTTTCGAAAAAAAACTAGTTTGTTGTATTTATAAAAGGCATTTTTTAGTTAGAGGGCAGTAAGATATAGCTACGACCATACCTTTGTCAAACACGGCGCCTTTTCACCTTTCGCTTGTATTTAGCTACTGGAGCATCCCTTTTCACTATCACCAATAATCGGCTAACATGGCGGCACTCCATTTGCTTTTGTATCTTTGCTCCATAGCTGAGATGTCTTGATGGAAGCGCTCACCATGTTCGTCGCTGACAGCACCACAGTTTGACGGGAAGAAATCCAGGTGTGAGTGCAAGAAATGCATCTTCAATGACATTTTGCATCCCAGTTTTCCATAACAAGTCAGTGAGTTCACCTTCTGTTTGATTGTTTCACAGTCTTTATTTCGAGTACGAAATGTTGTCAATTTCACAGAATGATCTAGAAGATTCCACAGTTCTAGCCTCGAGGCCAAAAGCACTGCCTTCTTCTTCGGCAGTTCGAGATCCCTGATGAAGTCATTAGGGTCACTTTCTGTGATCTTATGTGATTCAGTAGGATAGGGGCTTGAACGAAATGGTGGATCCCTTGATGTAGACGGCTGCTGTACTTGTTCATGTATATCAAGCTCAACATGAACATCATCAGTCTTCTTCTTCATCAGAGTCTACAGAAAAACTTTCTGGTGGTTCAGGAATAAGTAGTAGTTCACCGTGAGGGACGAGGAGAATTGCAGATGGTATATTTGGGTACGTCATTGTGCACTTTTTATTCATTGCCATCCCTTTTTGAATAGGAGGCACAACACAGAAGAAACAGTCTGTGATGTGATTTGTTGGCTTCCTCCATATCATGGGCACTGAGAAAGGCACAGAACGTCCCTTACGATTCACCCATGCATTGAGTTTTAAAGAACAGGTAGTGCAGCATATGTGTGGAGCCCAGTTCTTGTCTTGATCGCCTACTTTACACCAAAAGTACAATTCATAAACCTTTTTTATGGCTTAGTTAATGTACACTTTCTTGAAGCAAACATGACTTCTCCACATACGTAACAGAAGTTATCCGGACTATTCACACAATTACGGGGCATATTAATCGTACACAATACAAATACTGCGCAAGAAGTAGGAATCTCGCAGAGAACCGTTAACTGAGAACACATTACCCAGTGACTGGCCGGATTCGAGGAATACTGTAAGAGTTGAAGATGTATTTGAGGCAGCAACAACTTATCACATAATGCAGAGTGGGGTGACTGTTGCTTATCATGTTTTAAGAGCGTAGTGGTACCATAACTGATAATAATGAAGAGTAACTCGCTAATATGAGACCACAACCGTAATTCGAAAACAGGAGCCAATCGACAAATTTTAATATGATTTTCGTATTCAGCAGCCTAAATTTAGTCAAGATTGGTTAGTTTCGTTTTCATAACACTTTACGTGTTGATCAGTGTTATCAGAGTCAAGCTATGATTCATGGAGGAAGTATATCACCAGGTCATACTGCTGTAGAGATGTGCAAGCCATCCATGTGGCTGCTGCTTCTTGGTCAAACAGAAAGCAGTCCACATTAAATTTATGGTTTATTTACAAATGTTGTCAGTAGCTCTGATTATACGGAATGTCCCTTGCAGGACTGTAAAGGTTCATACCATGGCTTCTATGACAAAATAAGAAAGAAAGTTTCTATAAATATGAGGTCTGTGATGCTTCCTAACAGGGATACAAGCAATTTTAACTACCTTTGCAAGTATTGTTAGTAATGAAATGCAAATGCTTTCTACACCATTGTTATTGCAGGTAAGTATCACACCTCACATAAAAGTTTGTTTCTTTGTTCAGCAATCAAAATATAATGTGAGTTTTGAAGTGATGTGTTTCAAATAACAAGGAGTAATTTGTTGGATTTGAGGTTTTCACATCAGTGAGTCTGAAGATTGCAGTCTTCCGGATTATTGCGCCGTGTAGTCTGGTAGATTTCCACCAACGTTTCAGAGGTCATACTGCCTCTGTCATCAGGGCGCAATAACCCAGAAGACTGCAATCTTCAAGGGGTAATTTCCTTCCTAAAGGGGGGGGGGGCGGGGGGAGAGTGAAGTAAAATAACAGAGTATTATTACCTGCTAATCTTGGGGGGCAATTAAATACAAGCCACTGCACACAGAAGTATTTTAACAAAAAATTGGATAAAGGAAAATGTCCAAAAATATGTAGCAGTTTAAGCAACACCTAATAATTACAGTACGCTTCAATATTAAGGTATCTATAGAATATTATTCTTGAAAAACTTCAAAATAATATTTCTACTTCAAGCTCATTCTCCTTTAAGAACATTGGGCATATGTACTCATATATGATGTATTTCATTACAAACTGTATCTCAAAAGCAAACCCACTTCAGATTTTCAGAAACAGATAATAATATGAGTATGATGGTAACAATAATGAAAATCTTCACGGTTTTTGTTTTTGAAATACTATGTTGGTGATACACTTCATTACACAAATTTTGGAATACACCAGTTATAAAATGTTTATTTTTGCAGAAAACAACTAAACCACGTTTGTTTTCTTACAATTTGAACTTAAGACAAACTCTGTTTTTGAATAAAAATAAATGTAACAAAATCTGAAGATGGCTATCTTCTAGTTTGTAGTACTGTGTAGTCTGGTAGAAGTTTACATTTCAGAGGTCCTCTATCATCAAGGTGTCCTGATGATGGAGGCAACAAAAACCTCTGAAATGACAGTAAACTTCTACCAGACTACACAGAGCTACAACCCAGAAGACTACCATCTTTGTACTCACTGTCATGAGATACAGGAGAAAAAGAGGTGGTGGTGATGAAAGAGAAGGTAGCCATACATTGCACAATTTCACAATGCCTGCCAAAAAATAAAGGACAACTTTTTCTTCTGAATAGATAACTGTACTAAACCAGATGTTATGACAAAGCTATTGTTCCCAAAATGTTGATCAACTGATCAATGCTACTCCATTAACTTTTTACCTAAGGATAGAAATTATTCAATAAAAACTATGACCTCTGGCTTGCCTGTCATTGTTTCTTTATTTTTCTCTCCACTTTCCTCTCTCTCACACACATGCGTGCACATGCACTCATACACGTGTAAGGGACAATGGAAATTTGTCTCATTCTCATCACATTCCCAATGGCTACGGGATCCACCATGTTCCTACCCAAAAAAGTCTGCCTCATCCCCTTGGAATAATAACAAATGCAGCATGAAAATAACCACTCATCTCCACACACTGTCATGATAAACAATGTACCAAGCTTTACTTTCATGGTGTGTTATTTTGATGTAGGGTAAACTTTTTCAGATTTGGGCATTAAAACTTACATGTCCATTCTGTACCATCTCCTTCCAACAGTCCCGCAGGGCCTGGTATTCATATGCTTTCTTTTTCATGTAATCCATTCTTTCCTTCCCAGACATTCCATCTGGATATACATTCAAAATATGTTTCCAAACCACCTTCCTACAAAGCAAAACAACAATCAGGTCATGTGTACAGTCTTGCTGCTTACTGATAACAATACTGACGTATGACTTTCTTAATGAATACTGAATAAGAAGTCCTGCTCAATAATCCCTTACAAAGTAGAAGAAAGACCAGTCATCATATTTATTAGTTTTATGTCCTTGTGCATTATTTTCTGGCTAAATATATGAAACCATAAACCTACAAGAAATGCAACATGCCTATGAAGGACATCGGATTAATTGGAATGAAACCAAAATTCTAAAAATGGAATCAAATTACACTTGGAGAAAATACAAAGAATCAGTCCATATGACATGTGAAACTGAATCAGTAAGTCAACATAGCCTGGAAATGTCACGTATATGGTTCCCACTCATCAGTAAGATCAACAAATCACAGGACAGTTAGGCTGAACTTGGTGCTCCAGTTTTAGGGTGATTTTGGTATATTCTGTCAACAATCATCATTCCACATTTGACCAAGAGAGGACGTTACATCACAGGCAGCCTGGATATTTAGCCATAATTGCGGCTGGAACTTTGGCAGTTTAGGAGTTTTTGTCATTTGTTTTGGTGGATTTTAATTAGGACTAACAGGGCAGTTTTGTTACATGCTCCTACATGTCTCTGGAATTTTTACTCAGGTTTTAAGTGTTGATGTATCCTATAGACAAAATGTAACATAAGGAGTATATATATATATATATATATATACCCATCTTGGATTTCAGTAGGTGTCCAGTAATGGAGACTACCTCCTTCTAAGGGCCTCCACAGAGTAGGAACCCCTTGTCCATCTTATTTTACCTGATGATGAAGACGGATCTAGTCCTCAAAATGTCATGCCATTAGAAACAACAGACGATCAATAATGTCCAAAATATGAAGCCAGGAAAAGCCGTTTCAGACAACCAATAAAAAATCATTTACATGAGTATAAGATAAGGTTTGGTATATATATTTTACTAATAAATATGAGGCCAACTTACATTCAATGCAGAAAAACTAGTAAAAAATGTGATTCAATGCTTTCTGGGAAAATGAATCTGGCAAATGTGGCATATCACAAAATGTGCATATACGAAGTGCGATCGGAAAGTTTCAAGACTGTCTCAATAGAGGGCGAACCGGATGTAGTACGAGCTTCTGCCGCTAGGGGGTGCGGCCTACATTCATAGTGAATCAGTGTGCCAGCCGGCATCATCGAATTAGCATTTGTTTCTTAGTTACGGGCGTTTTGGTAGTGCATTACACCGACCCTCCTGCGATTTCGGAATGGCGTGTGCATCACATTTTGCCAAAGACTCGCCAAAATGGCTACGGAAACCTATGAAATGACGAAGATCGACGTCGTACCATCAACGACTTGTGCGACATTTTTGGGATAGGCTATGGGACCTGTCAGCTGATTCTAAAGGAAGAACTCCACATGCGACGCATCCTGTCTGAGGCCCAGAAGCAGAATCGACTTCTCGTTTGTCAGGAGTTTAAAGATCTTGCAAGAACCGACCCCACCTTCCTTTCTAAGCTCCGTGTGACTTCTTCCTCTTCCCAAAGTTGAAAATTCAGCTAAAGGGAAGGAGATTTGAGACGATAGAAGAGATTCAGGCAGAATCGCAGATGGTGCTTGACAGGCTGACAAAGAAAGATTTCCAGGGATGCTTCCAGGCTTGGCAGCGGCGCTGGGATCGTTGTGTTCACTCCCAGGGGAACTACTTTGAGGGTGATGGATGAATTTAATACCTGAGATAAGTGTACGGGTTTTTATACGCGCAGTCTGGAAACCTTTCGATCGCACCTCGTACATGAAGAGTACTGTGTCAATCAGTATTTTTAAAGCAAGAATTAAACTTTTTTTCTGTTATGGCCACATGCACAATTTATCTAATTATGGAGTTGTAGTCTGTTACATTTCTTAATTATGAAACATCAGATGTAAATCTGAGTCCTTGCTACTGCTCAAAGAAAAACAGCAAAGCTTGAAAAGGAAATTTTGTATGGACATGTTCTCATATCAAAACTCAAAGGATATGTGAATTTTAATGTGTGACAGCCACCAGATGTTGCTTAGGTTGTGTACGCACAATAATCCTGAAAGTGAATAACTTAAAAGTTACCTGGTCAAGTTAAAAAAGCATTCTTCCTTAAAATATACTATTGTTTTTTGTCAGATAACTACATAACAGACATGTGTTTTATGCAAATTTGGTCCATAATAAGCTGAACCCTGCACGACTCCCATTCGTTTTCTAGTAATAGCAAAATTTGATTTTGGTACTTCATTCATGGTTAAAATAAAGGTTTATAAAATACAGAGCTCATCAGAATACAGACTAAGTGAGAACTCCAAAGCAGTGCACTGCTCAGTAAAGCCACTGCAGTGGTGGCAGGGGAGGAAGTGACCACACATTTCTTACAGCTTGAAACTTGGTGATAATAATAAGTTGCACATGTTATGTTTAGTTGAACACTGAACTTGGGTCCAGATTCCATGTATGGACCTAAATTTCATTCCTTAAATGGGAGTTATACCTAAGACTGAGAAACACTAAGCCGAGGCAAAAATGTATGAGTATTACATTATATGGAGATATGGCTCGGACCACAGAAAATAAACCTTAGATCAAGAAACATAAAATTGAGATTACAATATATCTGGCAGGTATGTTATCAATGGAAGGTGGAGAAAAGCTGCATATGGACAAACACAAAAATTATAAATGATTTGAATTATAATGCCACTTATATGCTTAAATAACTTCTGATTGTGGACTATGAACAATTTAAACACTTTAGTTTTGAGGTGCAGAGCACACATTTTCAAGTACCACTGGGCAGTGTGCTGGCATGTCAAGCATGCCATACCCACCTCCAGAGACAGTCAAGAACAAGGAGACAGACAGACTCATCCTGGAATGTTTCAACACTGTTGAAGCAACAATGATTTCTGTCTCAGCCAGATGCTTACACCCACCAGTGAGCTTCAGTGACTGACCACATTTCTTAAAATGTGAAATACCACTGCATAATACATTTGTATTTTGGAGCTATTTAAACACCACATACACAGTTGCACCACTGCTACACTCCCAAACTTGGCAAACAAGAGGACATACTTCAATAGTTATTGTGCATGTGCTACTGTGCTTAATTTCCCATAATTCTCATGGTAGAAATAAAGAGTTAATACCACTACTTGCTTAATTTTCACAACAAACTTATTTTATCTATGATCAAATGAATAAGACTGTACTCTTAGTAAGGACAAGCTTCAAGATACCAATTTCTATAAAAAGGATTTGTTCATATAACAATGTGTGATACTGCACATAATTTGGCCTTAAAGCATAGCTGTAAGTCTTATGTTTGAATTCAGATAACTGAGTGTTCAAGTAGCTCAGTCAGAAATATACAACTTGATGTAACTTACAAAATTAACTTGCACCTCAATGTCTTTTTATGTCCATTCCATACTACATTAAAAATCTTCAAATACAACATCATGTACACCGAAGAAACAATTCTTTACAGAATAGCAAAGACACTTCAGTTCAGTAACATAAAATTTGTAATTAAAGATTAGCATGACAAAATTAGTGTAGTAAATTTTGTATTCTTTCATATCATGTGGTTTATAATACAAATAAACCAAGTGGCTGTGTATGTCCAATACCTGCATCACTACATGTCAGTTATTATTAACAGACATGCTTCAGCCATCATCAGTGTTACCCACATTATACTTACATTGGCTGAACCAGCAAGAATAAAATGTATTTCTTTAATATGTGTGTCAAAAATGGATGAAGTGAAGCTTATGTGGTGAATGAATTTGATGAAATACTCTCGGGCTACAAGCCGCGTCAAGTGGCTGAATGGTGAAGATATGGTTTGTTCACTGTTCAGCCACCTGACGCGGCTTGAGAGTGTGTCAATAATTTTCATATATAAATTTGCATAAAGTAAGTCGCACAGTAAAGTCTATATAGCCATTAAGAGTAAATATGGCACAAATTTAAAACATACAACTTCAGTCAGGGATTGATGGCATCAAATGTTGAAAATTATCCAGTGTTTCAGCAGATATAAGAGTTGCCACCTTCTGCACTTATAAGTCTGCCAGAAATGAACAACTATGAAGATGGCAACTGCAATGTTTGTCAAAATACTGGATAATTTTCAACATTCCACATGGCTGTTCCCTGAAAGCAGAAGTCGTACACTGAACTCCAGAGGCAAAAATCTAAGGACAAGAATAAAGGTAAACGAATACAATTTTAAAATGCAAGGTGAGTAAGATCTTCCTTCCTTTGAGGTGTGGCTGAGAATTGTTGTTAATTCACTAGTGAGGCCCACTTATTCAAATTTTCTGTGAGCTGGGTATGCTGAACATGATTAAGATCACCCGCACCACATTCACAAAACTAAATACAAATTAGGACCACTTTTAAATCAGAGTTAATGGAAACCTTAGCTGGGAGACCTGCTCACATCTCTGGTGGCTGTGGGTAGTTGTGACATTCATTTTACACACACTTTCTTGTTGATGTTTTACTGCCATGGGAAGACTGCACACTACCAGTTCACAGCAGTGAGACTACTATTGTGCACTGAGTGTTGATCATTGTCAACTGTGGTATCACATTTGTATTTTGTGTGTCATATGTCACATTATATCACCCTTGGTCCTCCCACAGTATGATTAATGTACCTGCCCCATTTTATGGTTATGTAAAAATTTCTCCTGGAGAATTCTTCCTTTTACATTATAATTTTGTTTTGAGGTTTTCTACTCATTCCCATTATTATTATGTGCCATTTTTCTGACAACCTGTATATGCTACCATATACACTTGCCAGAAAAAAAGCTTAGATTAATATCATAGGAGTGGTATATATAAAGTAACATGCAGGCCAAACAAGGCTTAGTGTTTCTATATGATACAAAGAACACATATATGCTGTAATATATAATAGGGACAAATAATATTTGCTAAACACATTTATAGTAGATGAATGACGCATAGATCAGTCAGTATATTGACTGGCTATAGACTGGATGACCAGGGTTCAATCCCCAATGGGGGCACAGGATTTCTTCCTACCATCTGTGTCCAGACCAGTTCTGGGGCCCACCCAACCTCCTATCCAGTGGGTATCGGGGTCCATTCCCAGGGGCAAAGTGCAGCCAGGGCATGATAGTGACCACTGAGCCCCCTGTAGTGCCAAGGTCAGGAATGAGTAGGAGCTATACATCCTCTTCCCCCAAGCACCTACATGGCGTACAGTGGGACAGCTTTACTTTTTACTTTTTGAATGACACGAGTATGTCAACGTAAATGAGACCTTGGAAAAAATAAATGATAATGGTCCTATTATGGACATTTATGAAAAATGTCATACATATAAACATAAAAGGATGGGCAACTGTCTTCACAAGTAGCACACTATTACATTAAATGTGCTTTTCAACTTGTTGTTAAAATAAAATAAAAACACTGACATGAAAGGATGGTATCATATATACAGACTATATATAAAACATTCCTGTATATCCAGAACATTGGCCATACACAACAGGTGTTTGGCAGCAACCACATTGGCCCCATAAATCAGAACTGAGCTCTCCTATTCTACAACATACAACATAACATATGGACAATGCAGTCACAGCAAACAGCACATCTGGAGAATCTCATTATACAACTACCCACAGCCACCAGCCCAGCCAAGATTTATATAAACTCCAATTTCACAGATGTGGTGAAAATAATCATGTTTAGCATACTCAACTCATAGAAAATGTAAATATGTGGACCCCACTAAAGATTTATAAAAACTCTCAATCTCACCTTCAAGGAAGAAACACCTTACTTTACATTTTAATGTAATATGTTTTTTTAAATGTGTCAAAATTACTCTTAATGGCTTTATACATCAGTGTTCCATAACTGACGTGCCACCACTACCTTCCAGTTGTGCCACAAACTTCTGTCAGGATTTGTATATTCAAAAAACTGTATATGCATGCATTGTAGTTAAAAAAGGTAATGTCTAATCTTTTGTAATTAGAATTTGTAATACACACACTGGTTCATCAACAATAGTTCTATTTAACATATTATATTTATTCATATGCCTACATTCCTACAGGGCAAGGATTTACATATATATATATGTCCATATACAGTTCATACCTCCTTATCATGGGGCAAAGTTTTGTGATGGCCATTGTGTGCTATTGACAAATTTGGATGTTCTGTGAGTGCAAAAATGTTGCAAGAACACTGTTACAAACTTTAATATGACATTTTTATAAATTATTTTATGTAATTTTATTATGCATTTGATGTAAATTCATATATGAACATTACTGAAAAACAATAATAAAGAAAAGTATTTTATACTTGTTGAACCAATGATTCGACTGTGTAAATCATGAAATTTTGTTGGATAAATTACATTTTTATGGCATTCAAGGAATAGCAGCACAATGGTTCAGATCGTATTTAACAGACAGAAAACAAAAGGTTGAATGCAAAGCACCTAAAAACAAACAGAATAATTTCTTTAACTAGGGAACAATAAAACATGCAGTTCCCCAAGGGTCAATTTTAGGGCCCTTACTTTTTATAATGTACATAAATAACCTTCCTCCAACAATAAAAACAATAAATACTTTAACAGAACCCATAATATTTGCTGATGACACAAGTATCATAATTTCTAATAAAAGTTTTTATGATTTCTGTTCAACATCAAACATAGTTCTGTCTCATATGAGTAAATGGTTTAATGCTAACAGGCTGGCCCTAAACCTAGATAAAACAAATATAATAAAATTTATAACAAATAACTCACCACAACAGGCTTTAAATATTGTTTATAATGAGAAGTATATACAAGAGTCAATAAATACAAAATTTCTGGGTTTGCAAATTGATAATCACCTAAATTGGAAAAATCATATTGATAAACTGGCTAATACCTAAGTTAAGTGGAGCATATCACGCAGTTAGATCTCTCTTGCATGTCAGCATCACTGACCCACTCTGATCAGTATATTTTGCCTATTTTCACTGTATAATAAAGTATGGAATAATTTTTGGCGGTATTTCATCAAACAGCAAAAGATATTCACTTTACAAAATAAAATTGTTAGATTAATAGCTGGTGTCAAACCTAGAAATTAATGTAGAAGTCTATTTAAGAGATCAGAGATCTTAGCTGTTCCTTGTGAATACATATTCTCATTAATGAACTTCATTGTAAATAACCAAGAATTTTTCAAACTTATTGTGCTGTACACAGTGTCAGCACAAGGAATAAAAATCAGCTTCATAGACCAGTTGCCAACCTCTCATGTTTTCAGTAGAGTGCATATTATGCAGGGATAAAAATTTTCAACAGTATACCATCAAGTCCCACAAGTCTTGTAAATTATAAGGCATAATTTAATGTAGCATAAAAAAATACTTAACATTACTTTAGGTGAACCTTTTGTTTGTATTATGTTAAATTCTTATAATAGTATGAATTGTACTTTATAATATGTATTGTATTATTATTATTATAACTTTTTCCACATCCTATTGTCATCTGACTATCTTATGGATCCATGGAATGTAATACAGTAGGGCACCGCATATACGGCAGGTTAGGGACCAGACCCCGCCGAAAAGCGGATCTTTGCCTTTTTTCAATTGCAAATACATATCAAAGCCTACTAAGATGTTTACATTATCATATAGTAAGTGCACAATAGCACTAGGCCTAAAAAAACAATATGAAAGTAAAATGAATCAGGGACAAGAAAATGGTGCCGGACGCACTTCTCTGACTCAGCTGTTGAGCGCGTGGGGCATATGCACGCAATTGAAAAGCGCCATATTAGCGGATCGCCGAAAAGCGGGGCCCTACTGTAAAGATGTATGTATGTAAATATTAAACAGGCAAAACTGAGAATGATGACCCCTTGGCTAAAACACATTTGTTAATAAATGACAGAGATGAAGGTAGTTGGACATACACAAATATTAGTATTATTTGTAGTGTAGTATAATTTGTGTTCCTGTTTTCCACTCTTAAGAAACATACCTGAGACTAGGCTCTATGCCACCATAATAAATGGCAGTCCTCAATTCACGGGCTTGTACCACCTGACCAATAGGGTCCAAGAACTTGCGGAATTCTGCATCTGTCAGTGGTGTGCGGGGAGGCTGATCAGAGATGGGAGGTTGCTGTTCCTCTATGAGATTCAGTGCCCTCTGTACCATGTTGAATGTCCTCTCAACCTGATTCAAGATCAACCCAGGTAGCCGGTTCTGAGGCTTGCTTCCTGGTACTTGAGTTTGTGGAACATCAACATAACCTAGCAAATCCCAATCATCCGAGCTCTCTTCAAACGGCTTCATATCCACTTGTAAACAGAGGCATGGCTCTGAAGCACTGTAATTTAAACACATCCATGTTCCACAATATATATTAGTTAATATAAAATATAATGAATAATTTACAAATTTTGACAACTGTTCAATTAACTGTTATATCAAATAAGTAGTTGTGTTTAAAGAGAACATTTTGAGGTTATGATTCTTATTCATCCAAATTTCTATATAGCTTTCAGCTTCCACTCACATCATCACTCCATTATTTTACTTGAATACTGATAAAAGAACTAATATGCACTATGCCAGTACAAGAAAGTGGTGAATGAAAATGAAACAAAGCTGTCTACTTAAATTTTCTTAGAACTTTCCACTTTTCTGTCACTCTGTATTTCACATTTGTTATGCTATCACAAATTTTACATTCTGTTGCATTACACCAGTTTTGTGATTGCAAGTCTTGTTCTCAAATGCCAAGTTCTGAATCTATCTGCTTCATCAACTCTTAACAAACTTCTTAATGATATTACACCACTGTTTAAAGATGGAAATTATTCATATTTATCCAGCAGTTCATTTTCTGTGTAAGACTTGAGGTTCTCACAGCGGTGAGTATGAAGATTTCCGTCTTTCACTTTCACTTTCTGGCCTATAAACCTAGCACCTCACACCCTATTGGCATATTCATCGCCCTGATGACGGAGGCAGTATGACCTCTGAAACGTTGGTTAACATCGACCAGACTACACAGCGCAACAACCCAGAAGACGGAAATCTTCAGTTCATTTTCTTTTAATATACAGTAGATACCGGTTAACTGGAATCTACTATATGTTTTAAATGGTTCTGTGTACTGGAAACAGGAACAAAAGTATGTTCTCATTATGACTGAAATTCTTTGTAACAGATTACCCTTGCCTCTTCTTCTCACACTAGGGCATCAGGATTTGGTCTCACCAAAAACCTCTCAATAACTTTCTGAAAGCAGATCCTTTTCAGAAGTTCAATCATGAGGTCTTCAACAGCTACCAAACTACAAACATTTCTATAAAATAGGATTCAGACAGTAGTCTAAAGAAATAATATAACTTATTCCCCTTGGATGTGATACAAAGCATGCACTGACAAAGTTAAGTTCAACAGTCACTTCCCAGCTCCCAGTAGAAACTACATAATTTACATCAAGGGCTACAAGATTTTCCTCACACAATTCAAATATTGCGCCATAAGAGAAATAAAATCAGCTTATATACTGTTTTTTAAAATGTGCTAAAAACATTCTCTATGCCACTGAAGTAGGTTGAAATTGACCAAATGAATTCCTTCCTCAAGAACTTCCAACATTTCTCTTAATATGTTTACCTTTAACTCTTCATCCATATGTGAGTTCATTCTGTAAATTTTGTCCCTAAAATTAACCCACAATTAAAAGTTGAACAGGGTAAGATCAGATGAACATGCTGGCCACAAACCACAACTTATTACCCCTTTCAAAGCCATCAGAAAATTGTCTGTAGTGTGAGCTACGCGAAGAATTCTGTCAATATTAGTATCATATCAGTTTTTACTGCATAATTATAGGCCTAATAATTTATTTAGCACTCATCCACTGCACACCACACACCAATTTTTATATCATGAAGAGGAATTTCGTTAATTAAATGTTGATTAACAGACTTCCAGTCTCGATTATTTTGGGAGGAAACATGTAAGTGGAAATGAAAGCATACTTCATTAGAAAAGAAAAGTCAAATAAGAGTCAACTACATCATGAACTAATTGAAGAAATCAGTTGCAGAAATCAATTTTGCTAACCAAGTAACATGGTTGCAAAGTATGAACTACATTCACCTTGTGTGGCCAAAGTTTAAGCAGCTACATCAATACGGCTGACTATGATTTCAAGATTCTGGTCTCTTGTGCAAGGCGCCTCAATGATTTCAGTGGTTCTAATCTAGCCCTATTTTGTCTAGTCTTTCCTCAGAATGCACATGATGTTTATAGCAGGTTTCTTGTCCAGAAATGACTTAGTGGACCTGACTTTCTTAATAAGTTTGTGGACCAGACTACATGGCGCAACAACCCAGAAGACAGAAATCTTCAAGTTTGTTGTGCTTGAAACTATGATCCTGAGATATTTACAATAAAATTTTCTCCAGCACTTCCTAATAGAACCACATATCACATATGCATGTGCGATTTATACAGAAAAACATGCTGTTCAAGAGTATATTGAACCACATGCACACATACGCACAACAAACAGAATGTCAGGCATAGTTACACTGTGGCCTAACGATTTTAGCAGCAATTTATGTTAGCACTTGGGGTGAATCACGCAGTTCCTGCCAGAAGCTCAGAAATGAAAGATACATTTAATTTTTAGACTGGACACACTGTATATTAGATATATAAAATAGTGCTCTGCATTTTTGTTATTCAGTTTGGATAATGAGTTAACATTTATTGACTATGCATCATGGCTTACTGCATAGTCTAGCTGACTGTGAGTTAGGTTGGCCTACTGCTAAACTATTAAACCTCAGAATTATATCTAGCCACCAACTCCATAGTACAGAAATTTAAGTCCCATATTCCAACAGTATAAAGGACAAAGCCAAGGGTGAATAAATTCATTACAATTTTAGGAAAAAATTATAAAGTAATTATCAAAACTCAAAACACTTAGCAGTTCATTTTTATGTACAGAGTAAATCCATAATGACTGCCTAAATCAGAGAATCATTCACTGAGGTTAACATAGAGAAATTACCGGCCTTTTCTCCAACATGGTGGCCAATGTGTAACAACTGATCTTACACAAGAGTTTATAACATTTTCTTTTAATTAATGTTCTGCTTAGCAATACATTTGTAAGAAACAGATTAAACTTCATCTTGCTATGGAAATAATTTATGTACATATATAGGATGATTTTTAATTACATGAAATAAATATAAGGATCATGCTCTACCCTAAAATCAAAGCAAAAAGTTCCTACAATCATATGGTTGCAGCCACTGTTCCCAAGATACGATAATTTTGAACAATGACAACAAACACACTTCCAGCATAAGTTTACAATAAATTTTTAGGTGGAAATAATGGTAATCTCCTCCTAGGCTCTTATGAATACTGCCATGACTCTCAGAGAGCCCTATTTACATTTTTAACCTTACAGTTACCTCAATTACAGGGGGATGTACAATTGACAACATGGCAAACTATGTAGTTAATGCATGATGGAGCTCCTGCTCATTTTACCAGCAAATGTAAAGCAGTGTTTGGACTCTCACTAAACAGTTTGATGGACAGCCGAAAGTAATCGGCCCTGTGGCCTCCAAACTAATGGACTACACTGTTAGCAACTTTTGTAAACATTCTGTAAACATTAAAATGTCACTATACTGAACTCTAGTAAATAAATGTGCTCACAAAATACATCAATCATATCACTTGGATTGTTAATGCTTCCTGTTCTTACTAACAAAGCAGTAGTAAACATATCATTATAGAAAGTTTTTGGCTTGATTTAGGAGTAGAACATGGTAATATTTACTGCATGTATACAGGGTGATTCAAAAGGTTAAGGCCAAACTGATGGAGCATATAGAAGGACTCAGAGAGAACAACTTTCGAATAGGAATCCATGTCCTCTGAAGTTATCCTGAGTCAGTCGAGGCCAGTGAAGGTGGGTAAGTCTGATAACATACAGCTGAAGTAATTTGGTTTGTAAAATTGCTAATGTAATCCTTGTACATCAATAAAAAAACAAAATTAAGCTAGTAGGAGAATAGCAATGTATGATTATTTCAGCAGTATCTTATCAACAAACCCACGGTGGTCTAGCGGTTAGAACACTGGCCTTGTAATCCTGCGGTCTCGGGTTCGATTCCCGACGGTGCCCGAATTTATAACTTGTGTTGGGCAAGGCCGTGGTCTAGGCAACAAGGAGTTTTCCTCCGGGGGAAATGTTATCAAACTTCCCTACCTTCAATGGCCTCGACTGACTCAGGATAACTTCAGAGGACATGGATTCCTATTCGAAAGTTGTTCTCTCTGAGTCCATCTATATGCTCCCTCAGTTTGGCCCTAACCTTTTGAATCATCCTGTATATGTGTAACTCATATTAATATATTTACTGATGGTTGCAATTCAATACAATTCAGTTGGATTAATAAACACACTTCACTGTGACTATACATGAGCCCACACAAGACACAAAATACCTGATGCGCCAGTCGGTCAGTTGTCTTTCCAGTCAAGGAGCAAGGATATATTTTCAACAAGTGCAATGAATGTTCATTGTTGAACACTACCTGGAATCTTATTCTTACTTAACTTGCCAGAATAAGCTGAAGGATACACATAACCATTTTCCTGTGCCAAATAAATCAACAATATCTTGTCATATCAAATCTAAAACTTCTTGACGTTGGTGAAGAGTCAATTGAATAAAAATTTCCTTGGATAATATCCAAGGAAATTTTTATTTAATTAATATCTTGTCAGATGAACCTTTCTGTGACACAGGAACTCTTCACCATGTTGCATCAAACTTGAGAAAAAGAGTGAATACATTCATCACTGAATTTGGTGGGCATTTCCAAAACTTTTCTTCTGATTTCAATGTAATTTGTTTTTTGACAAACAGAACGTGCCAGGAATGACTTTTCGATCATTCTGTATATTAAACTGAATTATACACGTATTATTAAGCATTTTGCATACTGTAGTATGAGTGGAGGAAACTTTATGGTCCTGTCAATGTCTGTCTTTGTCACAATAATGGGATCAAAGGTTCCACTGTTGGAACTCATTGTTGTGAAACAATAGGGTTGGGGCAAATAAGTGTAAGAACGACCTAAGGGCACCATTGGACTTCTTCTTCTTCTATGACTCTCCAGTCCGTATTTGTTCCATGGCCTCCTCAATTCTCCTCTTCCATTTGGTCCTCTGCTAGGTCCGTCTGTCCGAGGCTTTGATTGAGGTTTCGAAACATCTTCCTTTTACGGTGCAAGCTTTGCGACCAACCCCCCAATCTGGAGGACCAGGGTACCTGTCTTAGTCTGACCTCTCCCCCCTTGACCAATCTGGCTAGGGAGGCCCTACCAGTAGCTATGCTACTGCCACCATAGCTCTTGGGGTCACTGAGGTATTCAAGCCCCACCACCACGACAAGGTGCAGGTACCGTTGGACTACACTGCTGCACAACAATGGCCCAAGACACAACAGTAAACTTGGGTCACATTAGTATGTGATGTGGCATGAAGAACACCCTTGGAATGTCAGTGTACCCCAAAGAGAACATTGATTCTTGTTTTAGGGTATACCTTTCACATCTGTTAGAAACTAATTTTTGAAAAGTCTGAGAAAAAAGGTGCTGAAATGTGACATAAAACAATTTTTGTCACTTGTATAAAATGTTTACCTACCAAGGCAAGTGGGGCCTTTAAATTTTCCATCTCTATTTTAATAATATTCTCCCATACTGGCAATCTTTTCAAAATGTTGGTCAATGTGAGTAGTTCTCTAAACATTTCTAAGCCTAATTCTGATAAGTATGTTAAACAAATTAGAGAATCACTGAAGTAAGTATGTATTAAGCTTTTCAAGTGTTTTTCAGTCATTAGCATGAGCAAGGAACATCAGATGTCCATGGTTATCTAACATTATTCCTACAAAATAAGCAACCGACACAACTTAGGGTAATTTTTTGGAATAATGGAAACCGAGGTTATTTCTGGAACACGATGTGCAATAATGGGAATTGATAATGTTGGAACTATGGAGCAACAATAACTGATGCCACTGTTGGAATGATATTAACAATGGGAACAAATATTGTTTGGGGTATATTCTTGGAACTCAGATCACAGCTCACAAAAATGACCTCAGATTACACCACAACAATGACACTGGACACCACGGTTGCCTGTTATTCCTTCTGAGTTATACTTTGCCTTTGAGGCATGGTTTCAGCAAAACATTCCAAGGCTTTCCAATCTTGTTACCTCTAATTAATATTTTAATTTAATTATGTAAGTGAATAATTGAAAGTAATAAAGCAATTTACACAGCAAGATGTACTTAAGAAGAAATCAGACAGTAGAAACTTTACTGAAACACTTACCTTAGGAATGCTGCATCTAAGTCCCAGTCTGATAACAGAGACAAGTACGTTTCCTGGCCATAGTCATCAAATGCTCTATAGCAAACAGTAAAATCTCTAGAATAAAAAAATACGCAATATCAAAATAAAACCAGGTACAACTGTATGCAAGGGATATGTCAAGTTATAACCCCAGATCCAACCGGTTTTGCACATTTATACATTTTTATTTACAAATCATCATAACATTCTAAATATCAAACTCAAATGTTTACTGTCTCTCAAACACAAGGAAATAATGCATACTTCTCTATCTTGCAAAACATTACAGTAAGCCTTTGTCCAATGCCAGGAATATGTTCTTTAAAGTAAATAAAAAAAAATCATATGTATACATATTGTAATGGTATTTATTTCTTGAAAAAACTGTGTAATATAATAATGTGCCATCTATAAGTTAAGCATGAAGTAGAATATCAATGGAATGTTGGCCAACTGCTGTTGCACTCAAACCATTGCACAACTTATATAGAATCTTTGTTTTCTCATCTAATACCAAAATCTTTCAACTTTTCTTTGCTTCATTGTACCTTTGTTTCAACTCCATAATACTGTCCTATATCACAACAGTAAAACTACAGGAAAACAATACAACGTAAGTTATGATAACAGTGAAACTAAGACTGAGACTGTGGGTTACATGCAGTTTGTGAGAAAAGAGCGAGCAAAAACAGAGAGGAAGGAAAAATCACATGATGATAGCTCAGCAGAACTATGCCTGCTGAATAAACAAACCAAGTTACAAATACATGTGCTAAAGAAAAACCATCTGTAGCTTTTTAAACTGCAGTGGTACTTCTCATATGGTACTACAACAGGTCTGGCAGACTGCATATAATCAAATTTTTGGTATTCCATAAATAATTTCTCACAATTATTTTTACATGTAAAAACAAATCAGAGTTGGACAAACTCGTGTTGGAGGAGAGTTTACTCTTTACAGAACATGATAATGACGACAGCTAATCCATATAAAAAGAACATATAAAACATACCCTCTAATATCAAATGCCTTGGCCAAAATACTTTGAAGTACTTCAAAAGATGTGATCTGTGGATCCACACTGAACTTCCTATATTCTGGCTGAAGCACCCCTTCACATTTCTGAAAGGAAAGTTTTATTATTAACAGAGAGTAATAAATAGTAGTCTCATTAAATGATAAATAGAGTATAAATATCCAACTTATGACTATATGTACATATAAACAAAGAAGTTACCTACTTGTTATTTAAATAATTTGACCATATCAGTAAAGAAACAAATGCAGAAACCAGTCACTAGTCTCAGAATTACTTGCATTGGTACAACATTTAGATTCTGAAGGATGTTCTGTCATGCTGCACTCATTCACTGCCTCCATAAAATTTCCCCATCCTCCCTCCCCTAATTAAATTTGTTTCTTCTAAAGAAACACAAGTTCCAATAAGAAGCCAGTAACTAACAAAGAAATACATAATCTGTTTATTTTGTTTTTAGATTTGCTTCATTGCAGGTATTATGACAGTACAGATTTTTACTATTATTCACTACAAATGTAACATATTTCAAATTAATTGGTTACTAAGGACTGAATCCAGAATCCAACCACCATTTATAACATTGTTATTTTTGAGCTATAGGTTTCCAAACAAACTTTTTAATGAAACCTGTGTGCATCTGTTGGGGACTTTGGCAATCAGAATTAACAAGTTGTGATAGTTACATATTATGCATAAAGAAACATACACCTAAGGGTATGCAACATAACAGACTAAATAAATAATCTGACAGTGATAGAACTTCTTACAAGTTGGGATGAATGACAGGTACAATCTGTGCAACAAAGTTCAAGCTGTCAACACAAGAAACTGAATAAACAAGTCACCATAGGAGCAATGCCAACATTTATTTCAGTGACATATCAAAGTGACTAAAGTGTATAAGAATATTATATTCTACATTAGGAACATAAAAATCACAAAATTTAAAAAAAAAATTGATAAATATGGAAGAGATTAATAAAAATGCAATAAAATAAATGAAATATAAAACAATTTTCATGACATGCATATAATAGCAGCATTATAAAGACTGGTACAAATGTAAGGGTGAGTTTCCACACCTAAATAATGAAATGAGTCCACATGAGCACAAAACTGATAAGGCCTCCACTCCGAGTTCTAACCCTCTTTTCCTTTACAAAAGTACCAACCAAGTGCCTACTTCCACTGCTTCAGCTCTCTTCTTGGAGTGATGCCAGGCAGCAAAGAAGAAAGGGGTGTTGAACCACAGCTACACAAGTCAGACAAACATTTGGCAATAGACTTCAGAATCTACAGCACTGTTGCTCCAAATGGCTTTAGTGATTTACATCATCCACATTCTGCATATCTGCCCTCTAGTTAAATTTATTTTAAGAAAAAAGCCCAATGCTAAACCTTTATCATGTGTGCATCACTGCTTACATGTGGTCAAGCTGGCAATGCATCACACTAGCATGGCTCTAAACCATTAACCTCAGCAATAAGTCCACCTGACAGCCACACAGCATGGATGTTTAACCCTTTCGCTGTACATTATTTTCTCACCATTTTCTAGAAATAATGCAATTGTAAGACAAAAATAAGAATAATTTTGAATATATTTTTTTAATTTTTGTACAACTTCAAATGCTTCAACAAATGTGCTGCTGCTTTTAGGTTACTTTCCCTTTTTATAAAATAATTTAAAACCTCACCCAAATAATTTTGATCAAAGACAGATGTTTCTAATAGTTAAGAACTTTATGCCATAAGCAGCCATTCCATCATACATTCTGATTCACAAACACCAATAACATCTATAAATTGTGGTAACTTTGGTAACTTCTAAATCATGATCAACAGAAGTATAATTTAATGTAAAACTGTGAAATTGCATGTGGTGATAAATATTTTATAAATGTGAACTTTGGTTTGTTTGTTTTACTGTATGGTGCATGTAAAACACAAACATAGCAGCCATATTTGATTTTTAATTTAAGAGCAATAACAGATAAGCCATGGACAAGAAATATGAGACTTTGTACAAAGGATTATTTTGTTTGTTAAGTTATAAACATGATAACATGACTAATATTCAGGATATATCTGTCAGCAATTTGAATTTACCAGAAATTATACACAGAAATCAGTCAGTAATACATGTAATTGTTAAGTTATTATTTCTGTTGTTTGTGAATAGAGACTGAAAAATTTAAAGGAAAGTAGGCTTTGTCATTTCAAGAACTTCTTGGTTTGATATATGTAACATCCTACCTGTGTAGTAAACCTTCTGATGTTTGGACACTGAACTGTAGTTTTACCTGTAGAAAACTGTTTCAGTTCTGTCCTAAGAATAACCAATTTCTTGTTGTTTTTGTCCTATTTTTCAGCTTAATCAGTAGCTATCTTATCATACTTACCTTAAGACATGTGTTCATTAACTTTATGGTAAACAAAACAAGACTGGAAAAATGTAATCCATACTAGAATACACAAATATGTTCAATAAAATAAGTCGCCTGTGTAAGTAGGTTACACAGGCGACTTCAGAGGTATCCAGTCACATCAGAACCCTGGTGATGGGGACATAGTTAGTTCCCGAAACGTCGGTTTACTACGGTAACCAGTTAATGCGGCTGATTGCTTGAGAAAATTTTATTGATTGTACTCGCCACGAAAGTCTCAAATCCTATAACACAAATGTGTTCTTTGCAAATTAAGAATTGCTAATAAAATATGTATGTCAGTTATCCTACCAACACAACTTTTGTTTCAAACTATAAACAAATCAGGGTCTTAATGTTTTCTGTAAGTAATTTAAATCAATACTGACATGTTATAAGATGTGTTAAGTCTGTGGTAGCATACTACACTCATACATACACGATTGAATCCTGGTCAAATAATTTTTCTTTATTTTATACATCCAACACATTGTTATTTTACACTATACAACAAATTACTTTCTCAAAGTTTTATATTTTCAAAAATCTATGACCATACATTATTGTACTGCCCTATTGCAAGTGGTGCTACTGTCAATACCACCTCATCCACCATGTTAGTATTGCCGATTACAATTTTTTGGTATTCCCCAATGGCATAAAGTCCATGCCAAATGCTATCCAAATCTGTTAAGCAGCTCTTGAATTACATCAAGCGAATAGTCACAGAGATGAATGGACAGAGAGAGGCAGGCAAGCAGACAGACAGACAGACAGACATGACCTGCCCTACATGCATTCATTTCATGCACATCATGCAAAGAACAATTAGCTCCAGTAATAGTTTTGGCTAAAATTTTGGATATTATCCATTACCTATTGTTTCTCATAACATGATGTTTCAGGGACTGGGTCTGTCTCATTCATCAGGTAAAATAAGAGGAATAAAGATGGAGATTAGCTCCTTCTAAGGGACCACACAGACTAAGAAAACCTTGTCCCTATCATCCTTCAGAATGATTATAAATTAGTTTCAGGATTGTGATTTTCTCACAATGCAATCAAAACCTCAAATCTTACAAAACTATTAATCATCAGATGGCTGTCATCTGCGTTGTTGCGCTATGCAACAGTCCAGATGACAGACATCTTTAGACTCACCTCTGTGAAAACCTCAAAATCCTACCTATTAATCATCTTTTATCAAAGTCTGATTATTTGATGCAATTTTATTCAGGATCCTGAAAAAAATCTGCATCAATGAGTGTACAATTTTAAAATTTATAAGCCTCTTTCACCATTCATGATCTCAGAATGAAGTCAAGCATATTCTCTAATATGAATGGATTGGCAATAAGTTCAGAAAACTGAAACATGTAGAATCTGCTGAGTTAGTGGGTTACATGTAACCTGCAGATTTTAATAAAATGATTAAGTATAGGTGGAAAAGAAAGTCAAACAAATGGCTTGTTTAAAGGTAATATCCTGGCAATGGAATGGAGGGATTGAAAAAAAACTAAGTGTTGGGTGCATGCTTCAGGTGAGATCTCAACCAGGTACTTCCCAAATATAACTTCAACATATCACTGCCCAGTGTGTTATCTGATGGATCAAGTGGTTTTAAGTTACTCTGTGATGAAGCAACTTCTAATGGCAAAATCTCATTAAAGTTGAAGATTGCTGTCTTCTGGGTTTCATTAAAGTTGATTAATGGATTTGTAAGTTATGTGGAGATCCACCCAAACACTTCTATGACATATGTTGTCCAGTGACGGAGACTAGATCTATTTAACGGACCCAACTGAGTAGGTACCTCTTGCCTGCAGACAGAAACAGAGCCAGTTTCTGAAACGTTGTATCTTTCTTTTTTAAACAAGGATAATGAATAATTTTAAGTGCAATCCACTATCGTCAGATCCCTTTAGAGTTGAAGTACTATACTCTGTCCATCATGTAGGAAAAGGATAAAAGAAGAAGTAAAACTCAAAACACTAATCTTAAAACCTTGCATACCGTGTAGTGTATTGAAATATAAAATATGCATACAAACAAAACTGTTTACACTATGGATGACACTAATGCAAAACGCGTTTCGACCTCAAGAGGTCATCATCAGTGGCAAAAAACAAGTTAAATCACATAAAATAAATCAAAAGAGTATGGTTTTTTAACAGAGCATAAAGGTGAGTTTTTACAAAATCACAATTAGTAACACTTCACTGGATGTTGGTTGCACAGGAGTTGGTGTTATATTGGGCACTTAGCTATTAGTCCACTGGTCTGATGGCCATTGCTGGTCTATGGTGAGCCATGGTTGAGTCATCTGTGCTTGTGAACTTGAACGATGTGTGGGCGTTAATGTCAGTTTTTAAAATGTATAAGGTATTTATTAACTCTGAAATCAGGGTGGCCAACCACCACATATGAAATGTATTTTTTTCTGTTTATTGCTAGGTCGAATAACACATTGTAGTCATGAGCGTTCTGTTCGTTTATGATGTTTTAGTTTTTGCTAGTTTTATATGTATGGAATTTATCTAAAATGTCAAGCATTTTACCTTTCTAGGCTATTTTGTTTGTATTCATATTTTATATTCAAAACACTAAGAAAGCTCACAGCTGACAATAACAAATGACTGCCAACTTCAGGAAGGCAGTCTTGCAGAGGACTGCAATTATATGAAGTGGCTAATTACACACCATATTCTCACAAAAGGCATTCATAACGTTGGAAACTGATGTACCAATCCACAATAGCATTAAAATAAGTCATGAGGGGGCCCTGTTGAAAGTAATTTGTGTGTTATATTTATAACAAAATAAAGGACATTTTTTTAGTTCTATAGGACCTAAAATGAAGATAGCCACAGCGACAATGACATAGTCCCATGCTTCCTATAGTTCCTCCACCACCTTATCCATTACTGAGGGTGTAAAGAGCATATACCAAAGAACAGCCTCAGTCTACTCCAGGAGCACATCTACAACACCCAAAATGAACTGGATGAGATTTCCCGAGCCCTGTTGGCAATACACATACACTTCGCTGGCGAGATGTCTGTCAAAGACTGGGTCCTAATCAATCACATTACATTCAAGAAGAAATCACATGTTGCAAACAGTCCAACTGTCCTGAAAGTTAGTCCTAACACTGCAAGAGGATACACATACACCTTAAAAAATGAAGACCAAGTAAGAACTAAATGATTAAACAAAGGCAATTCAGTAACTGAGAACTATTACTAATGTGAACATTACTTATGACAAAGAAAAGAATCTTATGTCATACTGCACACTGTCATCATATCCTAATATCTGAGTATGCACCATTTTCAACTGTATTTCCTAAAAAAATAAGTAGTTCCAGCTAGATGAACACTGTAGCTGTAGCCAGAATTTAGCGTTCCTACTTAGGGAGGTGCTGTCCCGGACATCGAAAATACTAACAGGTGATTTTTCAGTTCCTTCAAGCAAATCTTTGGAGAGAATCTCAAATTAGTTCTCAACCACTTTCTTTCATATCCTTTACAATTTATCGTTCGCTAATCAGTTTATCACTGTACGCTATATGAGAAACTGACAGTGTCGTTAAATAAACCGTAAATGAAAGAAATACGAAACTGCTCTAGCACTTCATATTTATCGTCTCAAGTCACGAGCAAATACCTACAAAATTATTACATTAATCACAAGACAATTTTAAGGTACACACAACTAAGTACCGTGTACTACCATCGCATATCAGCTGTTTCCACTACTAAGCAGTATGTTACTACATATAACCAAACTGTTCAAACACTTCACGTGTAAAACACCTGTCTTACCTTTACTTTGACTCTGATGGCTTCACGACTATATCCCAGTAATCCTGCCATTGTGTTGTATACTGAATTTTACATGTGCCCTTTACAACACATTTCAGGAACGACAGAAATTAAATATTTACACATTCCCAGTAAATTATTAACTACTTCAACATAACGTAAAATTTCTATTGCATTCTCACAGCTGTTCAATGATTGTCACAGATTACTACCAGATTCCAGTGGTTACAACGTAAAGGAAAGAAAAACATTTCAATGACAATCCGCCATGAGATCGACCTATCGCAGCATCACAGACACAGTGACAAAATGAATAGAATGTGAGGTTTCACTGCCGTGAGTCAAGTGTGTAGTTGCGGCGTGTAGTATGGCAGAATTTTACCGACGTCCTTGTTGCCTTTATAATCAGGGCGTTTCAAAAAAAGTGAGCCATCTTCAATTAGAATAGAATTTATTTGCAATAATTCCTCAAACCAGAATAAAATTACAGTGTTTAAATGACAATGTCAGAATCCCAACAATTAGCACAATAACAAGTAATGACAGGCTACAATAAAGAATATCGGTACTAAATGTAGCATATAATATGAAACATCTCTGCCACTAAAGAAACTGACTCTTCAATCATTATTTATCTGAAATAAACAGGCATGTTCACAATCACACCCACCAAAACATCTAAACTAGCTATTAAGAACATGTAATTGATTTCGTATGCAAATTTTGCAACAAGAACTCAACAACTAATGAAATAGGATTGAGCTTTTCTTCCACATTTCTCATAATGAACGGCCTATCAAACCATGGCGCCAATTTCTTACAATTAATGATATTGTTGCAGCAACTGATATAGCACTGGTTTACAAATGCTTGCCATAGATGTCACATTATTCAAGTAATATAATGTCCAGTGATGCTCACATCAGTGGTTGCCACACAATTCTTCCATCAATTCATCAACTGATGTCTGACTACTCAGTTTCAGGTGGCATGGTATGACATGCGACTGAACAAACTTGCTACATGCAGGACAACTGAACTGTTGACTGAGAGGTCAGGAAGCTGCTTTATGCCACCTCAGTTACTAAGCAAAAATAAAGAGGCATTACTTCATTTCTGATCTACTGATGTTACAGAATATTCATCTTTGTTGCCCTCTACCTGAGTGCTTCAATCATCAACCAATTTATATTGAGGTTTTCACAGTGGTAAGGATGAAGATTTCTGTCAATCAATTTGTTTGCTTACAACAAGGAATGGAATTCCATGGGACACCACTAGTAATGCCACCCACTAATCCTTGGTACTGAAGTGAACAACCAGTGGACTTGATCCACTTAAATTCAACCCTGTTCTTGATGACAGCTGTGATATGCTATTTGACTGAACTTAAGTAAGACACATTTGCCATCATATCCTGCAGAAGAGTGACAATGTGCCTACAGTCTCTACCAACTTCTCAGAAGGGTAAATGAGAAACTGTTTTGTATCACCATACTGTTTGAAATACAGGGTGAGTCAGAAGTAAGTTTACAAAGTTTGTGTGTGTGTTCCAGGATCAAAAATAAGAAGAAAAAAAGTGCTTATGAACATGGGGTCGCAAATGTTTCATTTTCGAAATAATAGCCAAAAATAAGTTTCTAGCAGAGACTTTAAATTAAGATTTGTTGTAGGAATTGTTGGCGACATGCTTATTGGTCCACACATGCTTCCATCACGTCTAAGAGGACCTTGATATCGGCGATTCTTAAGAAGACACTTGCCACTTCTCCTTGAAGATGTACCACTGAGTACAAAAAGACAAATGTGGTTTATGCACGACAGAGCCTGAGCACACTTCTCCCATCGCATCAGAGATCATCTCAATGAACAGTACCCTCAGCGATGGATTGGATGCAGTGGCTCAGTAGCATGGCCACCGAGGTCACCAGACCTGACTCCATTGGACTTTTATCTGTGGGGTCACTTGAAGTCCATTGTTTATGCAACACCCATAAACAATGAAGACGCCCTATGGAACTTGTGCAGAATGCATGCAAGTTGATTTGAGGAAACCGTGGTGTGTATGAACGAATCCGTCAGTGTTGTGTACATCGTGCTTGGGCATGTGTGGAGAATGGAAGAGCAACCTTTGAGCATCTGTTACAAAGAAACGTCCCTCTCCTTAAACTTGGCAATAAAGGCATACATTGAAACTTATTTTTGGCTATTATTTTGAAAAAAAAGCATTTGCGATTGCATGTTCATGGGAACATTTATTCTTATTGGTGATCCAGAAACATGAACACAAAGTTTGTAAACATACTTTTGACTGAACTGTATATGAAGGCACTTATTGATAACAACACTTGAGATGTCAGACATGCCTTGCATGCATCACACTTGACAACATGAAGCAGTTGTATGGCAATGAAATCACTGACCAAGGAAAAGAAAATTGTGTGAATGTATTTGGAAACAAAAGTGTGTGCTGCGTAAACTAAAAAAGAAATACAAGGCAAAGAAGTTGGAAAATATCTATGATTTGGATGGTCATCCGGGGATGAAGAAACTCATCTTTGTCTGTAGATGCTGCTAGGTTACTTGCAGCAGTTTTTAGGAACAGAAGAGAGAAACCCAAAGGCAGGAGATGGAATTCTGAAGACAAGGTGTTAGCCCTGACTGTAATGAAATGTAGTCCTAAATCCCATATCCTTCTGAAGACACTCTTCCCTTTCCATCTAGAAAACCATTGCAGTCCACCCTCAATACTGTTCCCTTCATGACAGGCATCAATGCCCATGTGTTCGGTGCACTCAAACACTGAAAATCATGCCCTGGTTTACATGGTCTGTGGCCTGTGTCAAAAGTGGAAGCAAACAGTGGCTTACTACACCAGTCATGGAAGCACTAAGGCTGAAATGATTGCATAATTTTTTAAAGAGGTTCTTGACTCCTGTCAGAATGCTGAATTGCAACTTGTTGCCATTATCTGTGACATGGGTGCCATCAGTGTCAAGGCCTTGATACTTGGGTGTTTCCAAAATGGAACCATTCTTCAAGTTTCATAACAAAGAAACAGTATTAATCCTCCACACCTCCTGAAATGTACCTGGAACCTGTTCCATACATTTAATATGCAGCTAAGTTCTGAGCAGCCAGCGTCCTGTTATTGCTAAGTAGGAATACATTTTAAATGTGTAAAAATTCAACAAGTTGCATGAAATCCATCTACTGTATAAGCTAACAGACATACTTAAACCCTGGGGCAAGGAGTTGAATGAAAGTAAAGGTGGCTGCAAGCACAACATGGTAACATGAAAATGTCAAGAGTTTCATTGACAAACAGCTGCATTGTGATGTCAACTGTGATGCATGCAAGGCATGTCTGACATCTCAAGTGATGTTATCAACCAGTGCCTTCATATATTTCACAGAGTACAGTGATACAAAACAGTCTCTCACCTATGTTTCTAGGTACATCTGCCACTCGCACAGCATTTTGGCAGCTGATACTGCGTGACCTTTTCTGTCCATGCTTTGGCATTAGACAAAAGAGACATTATAAATGTTTGCATAATTTAATATCTTGAGTCAGAAAGTCTCGGTTCAGAACTTAACAGCACTGGGACAACTTATTCCTTTAGAAAAAGTTTTTGTTATGAATGTAATATTAGAATAATAATTATTGCCACAGATTATTAATGAAACAGATTTGTCTCTTGTATCAAAACAACTTTTAGCATGTTGCTAGCATATACGAGGCGCGTCCCAAAAGTAAGTTTCCCACTCGTCCCACAGCTAGCAAACCTTATATTGCGCGAAGCGACTGTGCGTACGTGATAGAGCAATGACGTAGCATGGCGCATGCACTAACGGCACCTCCCGCGTTCTCACAGTAGCATCGTTGAAGATGGAGTTTCTTATTCCAGCTCCCGCCGACTGTGAAGTGCGGTCAGTGATAACGCTAGGCCGCACACGGCTCGACGGACAGCAAGTCTCCTGCAGGAGTTCAGCTGGGAGGTGTTTAATCATCCACCCTACAGCCCGGACCTCGCTCCCAGTGATTTCCATCTTTTCCTACACCTCAAGAAATTCCTGTCCGGTCAGCGTCAGCGTCAGCGTTTTGAGAATGACAGAGAGGCGGAGATGGCTGTCACACAGTGGTTCCAATCCCAGGCGGCAGACTTCTACGACACAGGTATTCAAAAGTTGGTCCCACGGTATGACAAATGTCTCAATTCCGGTGGCGAATATGTTGAAAAATAGCTGGACACTTGCTGTATCTGTTGCAATAAATATTTACATGAAATTGTGTTTTGTTTCTGTAAACGGAACCAGGAAAACTTACTTTGAGGACGCGCCTCGTAATAAAATCTTTTGTGATCACGTGCTTTAGTTCTGAGTAGAAGTCCAGTATTTTGGAGACTGTCTTCGTCGCCAAAGCATGATATCAAGTGTACATGCTGTTTATACAGATCCGTTGAGGCTCCGCCTTCTTCAAGAACAGTTGTCACGTAAAGGATGGAAGGATAATGGGTAGAGTCAAGAGTAAACTCATATTTGTACATCAGCTTGATGGTGCAAACGTGTTACTGCATCTGGAAAGCCAAGCTGGAATGACCCATCTGGTGTTGTTCTGACTGAATGTTGCTGAACTTTGGGCATCAGTGGAGCTGTTCGTGACGGGTTTCAGGCTCATCTTAATAGGGTAACCTATCTTCATTTTAACATGTATTCTCTGGTTTCTTTCTGTATTGTGTTCTGCTACATTGGATTTGTCTGGTTGGTGAAGGCATATGTGAGAACTATGTCCTTTGAATCTGCCTTTTGTGGTGCGTCCCATCTGTTCATCAACATACACCTTAGAACATTCACATTCCTCGTATAAATATTTTAAATTGAAAGTACATAATATATTACATGTTGGACTCAAGATCATAGTTACACTTCTCTAAGCTCTTGCAGGACCCCTTTAAGGACACTAGAACTGTAAAAAAATTACCGATCTAATGTAATACTGTGAAATATAAGGAACACTACTGAACTAAACTCTGTGTCGCAACAGCCCGTGAGGGTATGATGATCAGCCATATGGCTTTGGTAGGTCATTACTTGGTCAGCACATCAACTCCCATCACCGTGTTTCTGGCTTTTGTGACCAAGGTCCGCTACCCTTTCACAAGCAGCTCATCATTTCACATCACAATGGTGGGTGAACACCATAAATTTGGGTCCCCACTGGCCCCGCCTGCATCATCACTGAGCTATGGGGGAGCCCAACAACAATAAAGTATAATACGCAAGTATGACAAATCAGTTTAATTACTAATTTTGTTACAAAAACAACATCAAAATTTGTATTACAAAAATATTCTAAAAACATTCACATCTTGTTTGTTAGCAGTAAATAATACCAGGTACATTATAAAATAGAAATGCAATAGCTAAATTATGAGTTCATACAATTTATTTCCATAAATATTTTTTCCTTGGCTTTACATTGAAAAAAATCTATTAATCATCGTAATTAATGATAATTACTAGTTTAGATTCAATAAATAACATTGACAAATTGCTCATTTTGTCTTGAATGACTGTTCCCCACTTGCGTTACTAACTGGCATTGTTAAAAGATTATTAATATTATTTCAACGTTGGGAAATGCAGATACTAGTCTATTATTACATTTCATTCATATTGTTCCAAATATTTTCTTCTTTAATAAACAGTAAAAATTGGATGACTTCATTTTTAACCTTTTCCAAATCAATGTCATTTTTATATATACTTATTAATTTATCGATATTAGTGCTGAATTTAGTTTCATCTAAATCAAGATTTATAAATGTTTTAAAAATATCTAAAATATTGGCATACACTTTTGTTCGTCTATTTATTTCAGCAATTAATTTATCACAAACAACATTGAATGTATTGATAATAAACATTTCTTTTCCTGCTAAAATTACTTCATTATCTCTCATTTCGTCGCACATAGTTTTTCTTTTTTTAATTCGATTTTTTATTTTGGTATTGCCATTCGTCAGTTAATAAAGTAAAACCTATCTAAGTTGGACACTCGGGGTTCCACGAAAATGCGTCAAACTTACAGAGGTGTCAAAGATAGCTGATCTCCAAGTTGATAACAGAACATGACAGCACTTTACATTTAGATACCCTTTTCCTTCAGTTTTATGTCAAGACGACTGAGGCCATTAATGACAATAGTATTAATACAGTAAAACCCCTCTATATTGGACACTTTTAATTGGAACCGGCGAATATCCTATAATTTCACATGTCCACAACACCCTATATCTTGGACACCCCTTTATCCTGGAACTTGAACACCCCTTTTGTTGTAAGTTGGACAGGTTCATGCACTTAGCTTCAATGCTTTTATGGGAAACATTTACAGTTAGTATTTTGTTGCTTTGAATTTATGACTTATGAATGCCTTCTACCTGAGGATTAGCTTATGGTTGAAGGTGTGAGACTTTGAACACATCAATGGAATTATTTTGTTGAACCCTTCACTGGACTACAGTACGTATTACTGGTACAGTTTTAACTTTGTCAGTACTGTGCTTGCAACTGAGTTAAACAGTGTTAACAGAAATTGGAATGGTATGCTTTCGCTCATAACCTACAGTAGTATTGCTGGTACAGTTCTAACTTTGTCAGTACTGTGCTTGCAGCTGAGTTAGCTTGCAACAGTGTTAACAGAAATTGGATTTTTCTTTTTGCGATGGGGAAACGAAAATTGGTGGAATTAACTCTGGAAAAGAAGAAAGAAGTTTTGGATCTTCTGAAGATAGGAGAAAGTTGCAGGAAGCTGGCAGAGAAATACGGCATCTCAAAATCTACTGTTTCCAACATCAACAGCAACAGAGCCGCAATTACCGATGCGTGGGAAAAGAATTGTAATGCACACAGAAAAAGACTACGAAAAACACCTCATGATGAACTAAATGACAAAGTGTTAGAGTTATTCCGGTGTAGTCGTGCAAAGAACATTCCCATTAGTGGCACACTTTTACAGGAGAAGGCTAGAGAAATTGCAACTAGACTGCACACCGAAGATTTCTCGGCGAGCAATGGCTGGTTGGATCGTTTCCGTAAACGAAATAACATAAGTCTGCACGTCCTTTCTGGCGAATCAGCTTCTGCTGATCTTCAAGCTGCTGAAGATTGGAAACGCAAACTTCCAAGCCTTTTGTTGGGATACGCAGAAGAGGACATTTTCAACGCAGATGCATCTGGATTATTCTACCGTCAACTTCCAACGCGATCCTTAATAGAAATGAGAGAGACATGTAAAGGAGGGAAGAAATCTAAGGAACGGATTACTGTTTTGCTATGTTGCAATTCGCGAGGAGCGAAATTAAAGCCATTAGTTATTGGAAATGCTGCACGTCCTAGAGCTTTCAAAACGAACAATGTGAAATTGGACGACCTTCCCGTAATTTTGTGTCACTACAAGAAGGCTTGGATGACATCTAACAATTTTTCTGAGTGGTTGAACGAGGTCAACCTTAAAATGAAGCGGGCTAATCGGAAGATATTATTGTTTGTCGACAACGCTACAAGCCACGTCAGTTCAAATCTCTCAAACGTCAGTATACAATTTCTGCCGCCAAATCTGACCAGCGAAGTGCAGCCACTAGATAAGGGCATTATTCAATCTGTGAAACTGCTCTACAGGAAGCAACTAATGCATTCACTAATCAATGCTGCAGATAAGTGCAAAGACGTGACCGAATTTTCAAGAAGCGTTACAGTCTTAGATGCCATTCGGTGGATTCATGGTGCCTGGGCAGAAGTTTCTCCTCAAACCATTGCAAAGTGTTTCCGACATGCAGGATTTATGGCAGATTCCATTGAGGATGAAGAGGAAGGGATGGAAGAAGACAGTTTTCATGAAGAAATAAACTGTCTTCCTGAGGAGATCGCAACCAAATTCCTGATGTCCAAGCTCTTTCAACGTTCGACAACATTCTAGAGGTTCACGACGATGTTGCTGGAACAATCGATAATGTGCTAGACAAAGTGATGACTTCAAGTGACGATGTGTGTAAAGAATCTTCAGAGGAAGAAGAGTTATCTATGTACGAAGAACCACCTACACATCAGAGGGCTTTGCAATGCATGGAAGAATTAGAACGGTATGCTTTCGCTCATAATCAACCAGCAATGGTTGAAACTTTATTCGGATTGCGGCGAAAATTAGAAAGAGGATGGGCAAATTCAAAGACAAAAGCAAAAAAGCAGTGTCTTGTGACGGACTTTTTTACAAGAATTAAGTGATATCATATGTTGAGCTAATGCTGTAAGTACAATTAAAAAAATACATTCTGAACATTTAAAATTTCATTGAGGCTGGGGTGTAATGTGCAACCATGAGAGTGGGGTTCAAAAGATTATTAATACTATTGTCATTAATTCTTAATTCAAGCAAGCCTACAGTAGTTAGATTATGTAAAATAGAATACATTGTCGGTAAACGTAAGGTATTGGTGCCCTTCTTTGAGCTTATCCATGTAAGTTTAATTTAGTGAAAACAAAAGTTATGAAAATTTAATTTACCCTTTTGATTTTTCTTATCAATAATTTCCTTTTTGGGAAGGGCTCCATAATACTTCACAATTACCACATTGTCATTACACCACAATATGAAAGGATATTTTCCCCTTTCCCTCTATCCTGGACACCTCTGTAAGTTGGACACATTATCGTGGAACCGCAAGTGTCCAAGTTAGAGAGGTTTTACTGTATTT